ATCATATATTTATCCTCACGGCTTCGCCAAACATTCAAACGGGAAAAAGAGAAAAAGTTGAATATATTCTAAAATTTGGCGTCATTTTCTGAAAGGATATATGTACAAAATACTCTTTGTATTCAAGCGCTTTAGTGTAGAAAGTTTCATATGAATACGGCGAGTAGAAATATTTATTTTGAATTTTTCAAGGTATCGGGTTTTACTCGCACGCACTTGTATTACGTAATACTTGGCCAATAAGGAGCTCCCTTTAGCCGGGATGACGTCAAACTCACGCGTATGGGTGCACTTTGACCTGTAGAGTCCATTTCTGGCATTTCCAGAGTCACGCGATACAAACTACGCATTGTTTTGACGGTTTTTCGTCGTATTTCCGGTTTGGGATTAACGCAAATTCGGGCAGAAATGCAAAATTCGGCAAGAAAACTCAGTTTTAAAGATAGAAGCTTGAAAATAACACTATACGTGTTATTTGTAACTGCTTCATTGATCAAGAGCATACGTCTCAAGGGGCCGAAGTTATGTTCGGCGAAAGGTATGTCTATGTTTATAATTTGTTAGTAATATTGCGTAATTTGATCATATATAAGCCCGTTTGACTTTCAAAGCTTATAAATCGCTACAATGTAGCCAGTGACTAAAACTATCGTTATAAATTAGTATATATTTTTATACTGAATCGAATGGTGGTGTTTTCATCGACATAGCGTGTACTGAACCGAAGATATAAACGAAATATCCGTAGAACGTGCACGTTCTACGCGTAATGGCCCCTGTTGAGAAAGAGTTAAAGACTTATTGAGTTTTGTAAACAACAAAAGCTTCATCCTCGCACGAAATTTTGGTGCAGCAGAATCTTACATCTTGAAGTACGTTCGACGGTTCGAGAGAGTACAAAAATCGTTTGTACGGCCTTTAGATAAATCATAAATATATTCTATTTTAACTAGATATAGTATTATAGCTGTTGAAGACTCTATTGGATTGTGCGTCTGTACGCACATGCTACAAATGCTATAATATTGGCAGGTATGCGTATAATAATAAGAGACGGAATTTACATAATATTTTCGTCAATTTAGATTAATACTGCGGCTTAATACAGGCAGTCTCAGTGTATTTATACTTTGTTCATGCCTCTTGTGGCATGTGGACTTTATATATTAATCAGATACTTAATAATAATATTGAATTATTTTTTACATGAAAATGTAGCATGGCTTTGTGTAATACGATCTCTACAACACGTACACAACAGGTAAAACGGATCATGTTGCCAAATTGTGAATACTTATTCATGACACATGTTTCTTCTTTGAATAAAACTCGAGGAGCAGTGAATTAAACGTGGAAATTCACTTCCTGCGAATTAACAATCAATCAAATGTTTTAAACTGCATCACTATGTTGCAAAATCTTTTGACCATCCATGTAAAAGGACAAAATATGCGATTAAATAACAATTTTTAAAACGTCAATTTGTGCTTGTCAATCTATTTCTCGATAAGAATTGGATGCTTGCTTGGCATTGGGCGAAACAGTAATTTTCATGTAACATTTTTTCGCAAACAGGACACATATTAATTTGGTTGGCGATCCCCACCTCGGCTGCCAAAAGTAATCACCATACTGATGCGATGTTCAGCAACGAAATTTTTTACTAACGTACGAAAAATCGTAGGTCCGCTCCTGAGAAATCATACATAGTGGACGTACGTGGTTTATTCTACTTCTTTTATAATTTGCGTATCAAGTGGAAATAATATAATTCTTCAACAGTAAACAGTGAATTATATAACGCCACGTTGTTAATCGAGAATTTGAAAAAATAGATCGTTTGCATTCACCTTGCCTCAAGCTAACTGAAAAAAGTCTGTCGAAGTACTTATTATAATGTGGGTTTGACTTCAGTTACTACCTGCATTTTCAATATTTGTGCAGAGGTTACTTTTTACACATTTGTTAATTTTATTTTTTATGTCTATTTATACAGTATAACTGGAATACCGCCCAACTACCACCAGGGAAAAACGAAAATGCAGAACAGGCAGTAACATAAACCGAGCAAACATTACACTAGATATTTCTACAGATTTTGATCTGCAACCAGCACGAATTGAAACACCATGTAATATGTTTAATTTTACTGTTTACTGCTGGGCCATGATGACATTCAATTCTGCGTTCAATTGCACTGTTTAAAACCAGTTTTTGTGGCCCGTTCGCGGGCTAACCATTGTGTACGCGCCGAAAAACGTTGTGAAGTCGTGAAGTTGTGACGGAGCGTGTTCGACTTTACTTCGGAAACTGTCGTTAATGCCATGAGGCGATGATATTGATATAGTAATGCACAGTCCACAGATCTGCGAATAAAACATCAATAATTCATCACAAATACAGGTAAACCAATTATTTTCCATCTCTAGTCAATTATAATGCTAAAAACATCGCAATTTTGGTCTGCTCTGGTCAAAAATATTTGATTAGGCCAGTGGCGTAGCCAGAACGATAATTGGGAGGGATGGGGGGATATTCATGCCATTGGCATTGTTGCTTGCACTGATCTTACATCAGGCGCTTACGAGAGGTCCACGTATCAAATAGAAACTGAAATAGAAACTGAAATATAAAATCAAATCAAACTTGCCATTGTGCAAT